GAGGAGGAGGAGGGAGGGGAATGTGTGGGGGAGGGGGAAGGAGGGAGAGGAAAAGTTTTCTGCAGAGTCGGAAACGGTGACGTTGATGGAGGGGTAAAGGAGTCGGCGACAGGATTCGAATCCGAAAGTAAAAATGAAACTTTTTCTTACTGCAATGCAACAGAGAGTAAGCAACCACGGTGCTCTCTGCGGCTGCAACGGAACTGCCCGTGCCCGCTGGGATCACTGCATTACCCTGGGTCCTTATATCACATGACCATAGATAGGCCTCCTACAGTTTCAGCCTTGTACCCCACCATCTCCCCCGCCCGTTGAACAAACCACCTCCATCTTCCTCAGCTCACCACCATCTCCATTCCACCCACCACCACCACCACCACCACCACCGACTCAGAAAACCAAGCACGCATCGATATTACGTCTCCAGAAAAAAGAACAAGAAACGAACCGAATCAGAAAATATTCTATGAGCCCCTGCGATGGATTTTAATAGCGGTTCCCCGTACCCGGAGGGGGTCATATCTTTCTTGGACACGGATCTCTACAAGCTCACGATGCAATGCGCGGTCCTGAAATACTTCCCGAAGATCAAGGTCACATATGCTTTCAAGAATCGAACGCCAGAGAAGAAGCTGTCCAGGAAAGCGTTCCACTGGCTTGAGGCGCAAATAAAGAGCAAGTCTCCCTGCGACCCGGTCCACATCTGCGATACTAACCCAGAAAAACAGAGCTTGGAAACATTGCGCTATCTTCCGAAGAGCTGCGCTTCCTCCAATCCACCTGCACGTATCTGAACAAGTCCTATCTCGACTTCCTCAAGGGATTCCGACTGAACCCTCGCGAGCAAGTCGCAGCCTCTTTTGTCGCGGACAATGACACTGGATGCGACAGTGACGTGGGAGAGGTAGACTTAGTAGTCCAAGGTCTGTGGGTCGAGACAATTCTTTACGAGATCCCACTGCTGGCATTGACGAGTGAAGCATACTTCAAGTTCATGGACACAGACTGGGAGTACGAAGGACAAGAAGAAAAGGCCCACGGAAAGGGAATGCGCCTGTTGGAGGCAGGCTGTGCAGTCTCGGAATTCGGCACAAGACGGAGAAGAGACTATCATACGCAAGCTTTGGTCTTTCGGGGTTTGGTGAAGGCAAAGAAGGAGGGCGAAGCCAAAGGCTTGACTGGTCAAATCAGTGGTACGAGCAACGTCCACCTGGCAATGCGTTTCGGCATCCCGCCGATCGGTACGGTCGCACACGAGTGGTTCATGGGAGTCGCAGCTATCACCGGAGACTACGATACGGCTACGAAGACGGCACTGAGGTACTGGATTGGCTGCTTTGGCGAAGGAGTTTTGGGAATCGCTCTAACGGACACGTTCGGTACCTCCGTCTTCTTGAGGGCTTTCAATGAACCTATTGGCGAGATCCCAGACAAGCCGCTCTCAGATACTACCGACAAGCCGGACACTGCAGTAGCTACTACTCGCCCCCGAAGCTCTACGAAGACCTTCGCCGAAGTCTTCACTGGTGTCCGCCAAGACTCTGGAGACCCAGCCAATTTCGTCAAGGTGATGCGCGAATTCTACGACAAGGTGGGCATTACTTCCAAAAAGACGATCGTTTTCTCCGACTCCCTGAATATCGAACTGTGCCTCGAGTACAAGAAGATTTCTGAGGCAGCAGGCTTCAACACTTCTTTCGGCGTCGGCACCTTCTTCACGAATGACTTCGTGCACCTGGAGACGGGAAAGAAATCTACTCCCCTCAATATCGTCATCAAGCTAAGCTCCGCTGCTGGCAACCAAGCCATCAAGATCAGCGACAACATTGGCAAGAACACCGGTGACAAGAACACTGTAGAGAAAGTCAAGAAGGAGCTGGGCTATGTCGAGAAGGACTGGAGCTTAGGTGACGAGGCACATAGATGGGAGAAATGATGTGGTGATGCGCAGGCTGGAACCTCACTGCCTGAAGCAAATAGATGATGAGCGGGATCTTGATGACATGCAGTGGCGTTGTGGCTGGGTACAAAAAGCATCTTCGAAAGAGCGAGCCAACTGTTGCGACGCACCAGGCATAACAGAGCATATAGAATAGACTATAGAACGTAGGGCAGTGCCACCATACCCAGAGGTCGAGAAGCGATGGATAATATAACAAAATCTATGAGAATAAGGAGAGACTAGACACGTTTATTGTTCCTGACTACCGAGCTTCGTTGATCATGTCGGGGAGAGCCCACAAAGTGGCTAGATTTTGGATAGGGACTAGGTATATGCTTGCAGGCTGGAATTTATCTATGAAACGCGTTGCCACTTATGTATATTCTACTTGCTGGTTGGAAGCTCTGAAAGAGTGTGTAAACTTCACTATACCTTACGACTGGCTTTCCATATGGACCGACCATGCTCTGTTCGTAATTCGCACCATGTTGAAAGGAGGGAATACACAGCTTAGGGCTAACCAATTTGGCATATCAGAACATCATCTTCCCTTGCCTCTACGCGTATGTGATCATTCCTTGTGCGACTTCAACAAACGTCAAAAAGTCGGCAGTGCTTTACATCAATTGTCCGTACACCTTATCAAATACCACCTGATCCAGTGGTATCGTGACCAAAGGACCAACAGAAACTTCCAAAGCTCAGTACATGAATTGCATTTAAACACCCCGCATGTTGATTCTCAGACCTCGCACCGCAAACACCAGTCGAACGATTCACCCAAATGTCATTACAACTCACCCCCTTTCCCACATCAACCATACTGCATGTTCTGTTGAGGCTTCGGCGCTCCCGGCTGTCCGGGTCCTCCCCATCCAGCCGGTGGACCACCGCCCGGCGGCGGCGGCGGCTGATGCTGCAGCGGCACGCCTCCTCCCTTCATGGCCATCACGTCCTGCCTGTTCTTCAACGGCTGAGCAAAGTTGCAGATGGAACAGACGACGTCCTCATAGCCGTGGATACTGAGTGGTATGACGGGGATGAAGCAGAAGGTGAACCACGGGTTGCGCTTAACGACTCTAGCTGCGAAGTTCCCCTGGTTGGCACGAAGGTAGGTATTAGCTATTTCGTTTGTTGATTTGTTTGTTGGTATGATAGGGAGGGAGGAGGAGGAGGAGGTATAAATACACAATTATGGCATTGGCATAGGGTTGCTTCGTAGCCTTGTAGCTTTTTGGAGAATTCTAGGGAAGAGGGTTTTAGCATGTACGGACTTGCGGATGGGATCCGCGCAGGGGGGGAAGGGGGGGGAGGAGGGGAAAGCTCGGAGACGACGGACCGTGCTCTCCGCAAGTGAAGATAAAACACATATTGATGTGTTGTTGTTCTGGGGATTTGGGGCGGCGATGCGGTGTGCGAGATGCGAGATGCGAGATGCGAGTGCAACGACTGGGGAGATGCGGTCTTCTATATAAGATGTGTTGATTGCGTATGTGAAATGAACCTGGTGGCTGTGTTGTTGAAACAGACCGGTTCATTTATTGTTCCGTTCCGGTCCCTGTCAGTCCCCCCGGATCTTTGTGAGTCGTGACTACCGCTCGGCCGCGAAGGTTGTTAGCGGGACGCTAGCGGAGCCGGAGATCAAAAAGCCTCTCGAGCTTTCTCGACCTCTTCTCTTCTTCTTCCCCAAGCGCCGTCCCCATCAACGCTGCGTTTCTATGCTACATACAGATTTGTGCCCGGCCTGGCCTCCGTGCCGCGTCGCGTGGCGCTTATCAAGATCCTTCGGATCGAACCTGTGCATATGAGAAATTCGGAGTAAACTCTTCAACTCACCTCCCTCCTGTCTCCCCTCCCAAGGGGCGCAGTGCACAGGTCTGCCCGTGAGGGTTTGACGCGATCTCGTGTCTGCAATTGGCATCAGAAAAGCAGGAGCAGGGTCGCGCAGTCTTCGCGCAAGCGGAATGCCGACACCTGTTATTTCCTCTGGGAGAGCCGTTGCGAAGATTGTGTGGGCTACGGCCTGACACTTAAGTGCAATACGCAGCGTACCCTCTCTTCTTCCTCGGTGAAAGCTGGGGAGGACGGGGGGTACAATTCGATTCCGATTACTCTGATGGGGACGGCGCTTCACCACTCTTTTCATTTGAGGTCAGTCTTTTCTCTTTTCCACCTAGGGCGAGGAGAGATTGAGCATGGATACTACTAATTTATGTATTGCGATCTGCGGAAGGAAGACGTATGTATGGACGACCCGAGCCAGCACCCCATACGAAAACCAGGACGAACAAGATCGATCTGCGACAACCCCTTTTTCCCCCATCTCCTTCAAAGCAGAAAGCTATTCCGATGCAGAACTGCGGCCCGAATTCAAAACTCGGTGACTATCGCAAATCAAATAAACAACCCAGAAAGATACATACTTTGGAATGAATCCGCAGACCTGCCCCTGAGCTCCACCTTTCACTCTGATCCACAAAATTCTCTCTACCAACCCTCTCCGCTACCTCCTCCGCCGCCGCCCTGTTGTCCATCGTCCTGATCGTCTCCAGCGTCGCCTCCGTCTTCGGTGTCATTTCCTGATTTGAACAAGCCCCTGTTCGCATCTTCTTCGGGGTTGACCAAGGCCTTCAGCATTCCCAGCTCACTCAACAACGACTTGCACTGGCTGTGTTTCCTAGGCGCTCCGTCGAGGAGCGCCATGATGAGCTTGTGCGCAGTCTGGACTTTTTCGCGGAGTCGCTTCTGGGCTTCAGCACGGACCTCGTGCTTCGGAGATCGGCTTTCGATGATCATCGAGTTTGCAGCTCCTTCCATCGACCGAATCAACATACTCTTCTTCTCTTCAAACATGACGAAGCTCTTCTCTCCTTCTGGTATCTCTTCCCCCTCATCGAATGATCCACCGTCCGGCTTCCCCTCAACTCGTGCAATCCACAACTTGTTCAGAAGCTCCGATGGGGCATATCGCTTGAGGGTTGAGATTTCGTCCTCGTAATCTGTGACGAAGGAACCGTAGAACTCTTCTGCCTTCCCGATGTCTTTGAACAACTTGATCATTGCTTTACCGAATGGAACTCCGTCTTTACTGTGGGCTACCCTTCTCGATCTGTGATGAGGGTCGTACTGCTCCAATGGATATCTTGGACCCGGCATTCTGCCCCCTTCCATCTGCCGGCTTGCGTAATTCTGCCGAGGATCAAGGTCGTAATCTTGGTTGATCATTCTTCTGGGCTCAGAGTAATATCCGTCCTCCCATTCAATGATGCCGTATCCGAACGGGTAGTTGAATCCAGGTCGATGACTGCCTCTGTGGCCACGTACCAAGGGTGCCGCCCCATAGGATGGTCTTCGTGACATCGCTAACTCCAGCGGGGCTGGGTTTATGATGATTCTTGGGACTGAAAGTTTTGACCTTTGCAGACTGGTCACTTGGTGTGGCCTTGTGTCCTATTCTGAGAGAACGACTTGTTTTATGCCATTCCTGCTCATTGTCATGCGTGGGTTTGCCACCAACAAAGATGATTGGCAATGAATGCATCATGCCGCGAAGCTTTGGATTCTGGAGATCGCAGCATAGCAGTTGCGCGTCCCACCAAAAAATAGAACAAACGGAGGTTGCCGTGACGGGAGTTTGCTTTCTCTTTGATGCTTCCATTGCTTCATTGCTTCACTCACTTATTGATATGTTTTCCCTATCACTTTCCACAACCTTTTTTCATCGGTCAATCAAAGCTAAGGGCTGGCTTACTTGCCCCAACCAAACTTATCACCAGATACTCCCAAGCACTTTCCCATGAGTAGCAAGCGCACACTCTGCCGTTGCCGCTCCAACTCTCCCATGCAGCAGTGTTCGTCTATTCAATGACTGACCGGGTTGACGATGAAATTAGTCATTTTCTTTACCCTCTACCATACTGTGCATGAAAGCAAAAGGAAAGAAGAAAAGCCAAAGAGATACATGGAGCTCGGGTGCAACTTCTACAGGGTATTAGCTGCAAGAATTGCGTTTTTCAAAACTACTCAAAACGAGCAATCAATAGAGTTTGCATGACAGTCATATCACAATCATCTGCATAGGGAACGTGAAGCGGACTGGTTCTGCAGACTAGATTCAAACGTCCTCTATCTGTCTATACCCTACCGTCTATCTCGCAAGCTCTGGGCAGGCAGGCAGACATACAGAACACTTGGTAATGGCTAGCCAGGTACAGGCAAACAACCCAGACCATTTATTTGTTTTGCGTGGGAACTCGGCGTGCCCGTGCACGTGTTTCCATACTTTTCCGTGGGTGGTTTCATCCCTCCTCTTATTTCATTCCCGCTTGACGCTTCAAAGCTCAGAGCTTCAACCGTGCCGGAATCTTCACTCTCTTTGCAAAAACACAAATGAAGAATCGCCGGGCTACAGCTCCAGCCGCATCGAATAGGGGGAGTAAAGTTGCCACGGGTCGTGGGGGGCCGCGGATTCGGCAAGTGGATGAGTAATTGAGTGAGCGAGTGAACGAGTGAGCGGGCGGCTGCGGCACACATCAAGGCCAGCATGATGCGGGCACACAGTATTCGCAAACGAGGAAAAGTAGCCGGAAAGAGATGGGACGGCGTCGGCTTTCGTTGTTCCGGATGAGTCTTTCCCTCTCCCTTCTTCCCCAGCACTTCAACTTCAACCTCCTCTCTTCCAGGGGTCCATACCGGTCTCTCATCGGCGGACGACGAGGCCGTGCCGCCGTGAGCTGCTCGGAACGTACTCCTCGTCCGAGGAGCAGCAGGACGAGTCGTCGTCGCTGGGGCCGCAGCGGGAGCCACCGCAGTCAAACTTGACTCTTTCGCCGCCGCGCGTGATGCCGTAACGCTCGCAGGTGCAGTTCGAGCTGGAGTCGGATAGACTGGAGGCCGAGCTAGGGCTGTCGGAGTCGGAGCGCGACGACAGGCTGGAGCCGACGGACGAGGGCGGGCTGTTGGACAGGTTCTCGTAGCCGTAGTCCCCATCGATGGTGGTGGTGCTGAAGCGGGAAGTCAGCTCCTCGAGTGTCGGCGCGCTGTAGTCCGCCTGCAGGATGTACTTTGTGGCGTGCGGCGTCACGGGCTTGGGAGACTGGATCTGCGAGACGGAGAGGGGACGGCCCTTGGGGATGTCGACTGAAAGACTGAGGCTGTCGCGGCGGGATTCTCGGCGCGAGCTGGACGAGCTGTGCTTCTCGCGGGAGGAGCCGGAAGAAGACGAGTGGTGCTTGGATGAAGAGGAGCGCTTCTCCTTGTCGGACGAGGAGCGCTTCTCCTTATCGGACGAGGAGCGGTGCCTGGACGACGAGCTGGACTTCTCCTTGGAGGACCTGTGGGACGAAGATGAGGACTTCTCGGCGGGCACGTCGAGGATGTTCAGGACGCGGCCGGTCGTGGGCTCGGTGGTGGAGGACTGGCCCGGGTCGTGGGAGACGTGGTACCCGTCGATGATGTAGTAGTACCAGTATCGCTGGCCGGGCTGGAGGGTGGTGCCCTGGAAGCGGAAGGTGCCTTTCCAGGCGCCGGACTTGGAGGATGTCTTGTCCTTGGCGAGCGGGAGCTGGCCGGCGTAGTTGTCCCACGAGCCGAGGAGGTGGACGGTCTTGACCCCGGAAGAGGTGCGAAGCGAGAACGAGAGCTGGACGGCTGCCATTGTGACCGAGGGGTTGAATTAGGGGTACTTGGCGATGCGGTTTCTCGTGGATAAACTTGGGGGCGGTTTATTTGGATTTCGAGCAAGAAGAGCTAGTCTTGGGGGGGGGGATGGCGTGGTTTGGTGGAATTAGAGAGGTGAAAGAAATTATGCACAGTCGGCCAGCGACTTGGGATAGGAGGATTGGGAAAGGGTATGTGTCGTGGAAATGTTGATATTATGAGCACAGCTCAGGTGGATGGGCGGAGGGATAGGTGGAGGCGAGGGGAAGGAGAAAGAAAACAAAAACAAAAAAACCGACGAGGGAAGAGGAGGAGGAACTAGACTCTGGGGAATTGACTGCTTGCTGAAGAGAAAAAGGGAAAGAGAAGAGGCCTCCATTGGGGGTGCGGCGTTACCTTTATCGTCTTTCCCTCGAGGCCGACTTTCTCAGGCCTGCTGCGAGCTGCGAGCTACAAGCTGCGTGCTGCGTGCTGTTGGCCTGGTTGCTACGATGGTGGGGGGGGTGGAGGGACGATGTGAATGGAGAAGATGGATTGGATTGAATCGGATGCAGCTGCAAGCTAAGCGAATGCGGTGCGAGAGCGGATTATTGGAAAGGGCATGCAGATGCGGATCAGGTGTGGAGAGGGTGGGAGAGGACGGGATAGGACGGGATAGGATGGCATAGGATGGCATAGGATGCCAAAGGATGGCACAAGATTCCATAAGATGCCATAGGATAGATGGATGACGGGATGACGGGATGACGGGATGACGGGATGACGGGATGATGCTGGATGATGCTGGATGCATGCATGGACGGAGGCATTTTCCCGATCACGATGGAAACCTCCATGAATGGGGCCTCCGGTCCCTCCAGTCCTGCCTGCACACCACTTGGTAGTCCCGGCGCGTAATCAGGTGGGGTGGTGGCCGCTCCCCGGGCGACTAGATCCTGGGGCGGGCGAGCGAATGGGGAGGAAGTATAGGGTGTTGTGGGTGTGATGGGTGTGATGGGTGTGATGGGTGTGATGGGTGTTGCGGTATGGGTGCAGCAGCTGGCTTTGGTATACTTTGTCCAGTATGCAGCTGAGACCCGAGTCTGGTGACTTGACTGACCGACGGGGGGACGGCGAATATCGTGGTACGCGATACTATATATAGACGGGTACATGTACTACGTAACAATCTACCGGTAGTTGTTAGGTTTTAAGTACGTACTACCTACTTGTAGGTACTGCACTGCTGACCTACGTAATTACAACCATACATACATACATACATACATACAACCATATTACTACCTAGACTGTAGACATACAGACCGACACAACCGATGCGGGGTCGTGGCGCCAGAACATGCCGTATCGGAATTCGAAAAAAAGCATAGGTAGGTAGTCAGCACTTGGGTGTTGTGACGCGAGTTGCATGAGATGAGATGGGATGGAGACTGAACTTCCGGGCGGTAAGAGGAGAGGAGAGGCGAGGAGAGGCGAGGAAAGAGAGGAAGAGGGAC